GCCTCGGCAACGAGGCCCGTAGCGTCCCCTCCTCGACCCCCCCCCCCCCCCCCCACACACACACGAAGTTAGATGCCGACGGCTAGCCGGTCAGCCAGCTAGCCAGCCAAACAAGCTGAATGCCACTCGTATTGGGGTTATTAATTAGCCTGTGCCACACAGGCAAAACGCCAGTCATGCTGATTGGTTTTCTCGCTGCATTGTCACATGCAGTCATCAGAACGAGGAGATGCACACTGCGAGTGATGCACCCTGATGGAAAATCACGGACGGGGAGGAAGGTCCGTTGTCACGTCTTCTGTCATGTTTACACGCCGGTTTGTTTGTGAATATAAAAGTGGGTTATGGCCATTAACGAAGCCTCCTCTGTATTATTGGACTCTCCAGCTTTGTGATAAACTGTGGCTAAACTGTGGCTATTTTGTATGTAATTCATCCCAAATAGTAATAACAACAATTAAAATAACAATAATTTAAGCCTTGACTTAAAGCTTTCGTGACTGCCGGAATTTCGTATCTACTTGACTTTACCGAAAGACCCAAATAATAATTCAAGCCTTGTCTTAATCCAGTGCCGAATGAAGGCCTGCCTACGATGTATCGACCACGTGGGGTTTTGAGGACATTGGAGAAGGGCAGGGCCCAGGAGTGGGTCAGATCTCGAGCCACCACTGATGTAAGCGGTGGCTCGGACTCAACTCAGGTCGCTGGCTTTCTTTGCACACTGCACGCACCACTGCGTCACTGCGCCACTGCTACACGGCAATTGCAAATTACAACTCACATATTTTCAAATATTAAAATTGTTGACTGTTGGAGTGAGCCCAAGTTAGAAGCGGCCGGGGAAAGACGTCCATGGCTCCATTGGCAGCGTTCCCAACGGAGGGGAAAATTGTCGAGGCATCTGCGGCCTCATCGGGGTGAGCGGTCTGCGCGGCCACCCAGTACGCAGAGCAATCGCTTTTGTAAAATGTATTTGTTTATTTGTTTATCCAGGAGAAACACACTGAGTCATATGGCTCGTTTTTAGGAGAGTCCTGCCGCTGCTACATTTTTTATTTGAATCTGTTTTCAACCAATCATTGACGAGTCGTGTTTATTATTCACGCGTGGGAGGAGGAAACCGTAGCACCCGGAGACAACCCAGGCCTTGCGCGAGGGGGCAACACTCAATCCCTGTACAGATGGAAACAGATGGCGATTAGTCCACTCGCTGAACTGCCTTCTCCTAGCGAGGCAGGGAACGGCTCTTCCACGACGCCCAGGGGAAGGGAGCTTCACATCATCTGTGCGGTGATGGACAAACCCTCGCTGCCGCCTCCACAGCGCTGGGTCAGAGCAGCTACTTGCAGTAGAGTGGCCACTGAAATGTCCGAGTACAGAGAAGTGTCCAGTTGTTGTTGTTGTCGAGTTTTGACAAAAGCATCGTCGCGTGGCGCATACAACGGACAACACTCACATTGTTGAGTCACAATGAAATGTGACCCGATAGCGAGTGGCAGGCTGAACGTCAGGGGATTGTCGGTGAGGTGTGATTTAAAAGTCGCGAGAGACAGGTGTGTGACAGGGAGGTTCATGGTCTGGCCGTCACGACGTGAATGTGACCGTCGCTCGCTCTCGTCGTTCACGCTTCATTTCAGCTCTCTGCACAATTTTAGTGTTGGCACTTCTGTGGATGGGTGTCGTCAGGGCCCTACCTGGTGTGGTGGCACGCAGGCGTGCTGTCCAAGTGCGTATACGAATAGACCTGTGGTGGCACGCGGGGGAATTCACGTTGATGTTGTTGAACCAGGTGAGGACCTGAGTGACCAGGATGAGTCGCATTTGCAGGCGTGACTTGGGGCACTGCACTGTCCGAAGGGGGCGCTGCTCGCTGCTGTGTGAAAACTCCCAATAAAATTATTTGTGGGTCGTTTTAAAATTGACCAAATGTGAACCCTGATGCCGACACACAATGGCCCACTCCTGCGAATGACGTCAATGGATCGTAAATATCCACTGTGAAGCAAACGGCGCGTAAATATTACTATGAATAGCGCACGGCACCACCGCAGTAATAATCAGGGCAGCTGCTGAATTCTAACCGTGAACCTCTGCGACAAGAGGCGAACGCGAGGCCACGTCACGGCCCCGAGTGTTTAACCGTCCAAGAGTGTGCCCGGTTATGTAATTCATAAACTTTTCTTCGTGGATTTTGCCGCGTGGGTTGTTTCAGTAGTCTTGACCTAAATTGAGCGATGTGTTTGTTATTATTATCTGCAGTCATCTGGAATGTCGCCACGTGGGATCCGCATTTTCGGGTATCTTGGCATCGCCTTTCCTTGCACGAGAGAACTGTTGTCTTCAGCTGTAGCCATTCACCCTCACTGACACGATGTAGGAATAGAGGGCGATACCAACACGAGGTTCAAATTCGGACTGAAAATTTTGAGTGGCCACCACATTACTCGTGACCACCAAAAACAAATTGCAATTATTTATAAAAGTTGACATTAGAATGGATTGTACTTTAAATCGACAGAATAAATAAGCAGGCGATACGCCTTCTTCCCACAACCGTCCCGCGACAATAAAACATGAACGCGGTTTTTTTACCCATTCTATCAGCCACAGTACGGCCTTCTTGTGGTGCATCACTTCAGCAGTGTCTGGTTCAACATGAGCAGAAACCCTGGCCTGGTTGTGCCACGCAACGAATGATTATTCCGTGTTCAAGAAAGTAAAATCACATTGGAGAAACGCCACCAAACTCGTTCACAGCTTCTTAAAAATCCATCCCACGTAAGAGCAGCCACCTTGAATGGGCATCACTCCGTATGTCCCCACATCGCGACTCCTCAAGTGTCGGAGGCGACTACCACCAGCACTTGCTCCGGCACTATTCACTTCTCCCGCACGATGGCAGCAGCAGTAATGCGTACAGGAGCTCGATGCCAATGTCGAGGTCCGCTGGCTATGATGAGAGGGCTTCATGAGAGAGAGAGAGAGTTCGTGTCATTTTGCTGCTCCTCGTCCATTGAAGGAGCGCATACTACAGTGGGTTTACTAAATGGTCCACATGGTGCATGGCCACAATCGCACTGCTGTAGCTCGTGTCTTCAATATTCATTTTTGAATAAGATCTACGCGCATCCCGGCACTGGATGCGGACTTTGCAAGGCCCCAGAGAGACACCCACCCACACTGCTGACCTAACTCTGACCCCAATCTTATGCCCAAGGTACTCTATATATTCCTATGAAGCACATGACCAAATCATCCGGAATGTGTCCGGTCATGTCAGATTTCGGAAGCTAAGCAGGAGTGGACAAGGGACGTCTGTGCAGGACGTGGATTATTGAATCCACCTGTGTAGACCTTTGATTGTTCTACTCTTGTACAAACACATATGCATTGAATCGGACAAATATCCCACGGTCAAATAAATGTAAACCTTTGCCCCAACCTTATCTCAGCCCGCCTCCCCTCGTCCTCCTCGGCACCGCTGTGCGTCCAGCCACCTGTCCCCCGCTTGGGGTGTCACGGTGCGGGCAGGGGGTGGGAGGTGTGGGGGGGTTGGGGGATCGAATTAATGTCTATTAAAAAAAACATGATTATAAATGACAGTACAATTCCTGAAAAGTGCGACGACGAATTTCGAAACGACGTAAATGAAAGCAATTGGCAGGGTAGATGGAGGCGAAGGCAGAGAGGCGACGGGTAACGGACGGACGATGCCGTCAGCGACGTAAGTGCGGGGTTGAGGCAGTGCACACCGGGTAGCGGTGTTAATAAAGTGACGACGACGTATTCTTGGTTCTTTCGGTAAAGTCACGTAGAAGGGAAATAATAAAATAATACAAATAAAACAATAAAACAAAAATGTTTTATTGTTTTATTTTTATTCAACAATAAAACAACAATTATATTTTGATTTAAAGCTTTCGTGACTGCAGTAATTCATATTCTTAGTTTTTTCGGTAAAGTCACGTTGAAGAGAAACAACAAAATAACGTGACTTTACCGAAAAAACTAAGAATAACAATTATATTGTTTTATTTGTATTATTTTACTATTTCCCTTCTATGTGACTTTACCGAAAGAACCAGGAATGTGAATCCCTGCAGTCACGCAAGCTTTAAATCGAAAATTGACGACGACGTATTTGCGAAACAACGTTAAACGGGGAGACGTAAATTGGGGTAGAACCGTATATTCATTCCAAAGGTCCTACACCTCCGATTAGCACGGTTGGCTACCGTACGGTGCGAAAGAAATTCAACATACATACGGCAACGGCACAGTGACGCTCCTACATCACAATATTGCGAGCCACTTCAAAGTGTGAATGAAGCATCGTTCTTGCGTCAATCTGGCACACCACAGCCTCAGGCGTGTGGGCTACAGGGTGAGAGCCAGCTCTTCTTGGTCCCTGTCTCCATGTCACCAAGACCTTAGTAGTGCTCAGCCTTAGTGGGTTCCCCACGGTTAAATAGAGGAGAATCACATCTCCCCCCCTGCCTGCCTGCCCCTCCAATCTCGCACAGGCTCTCACTGCCCCCACCCCCCCTCCACTGTTTGAGATTTTGCTTGAGTAATGATGTCAATTGCTTTGAATAAGCTCTGGATGTGTTGTGTTCAGCCAGGCACCATTTTATTCGCCGTTGATGCCATAGACCCAACAACAACAAAAATGCTTCAGAAAAAAGTTTCGAAAATTTGTTTTTATGGATTGCCCAAAAGCGAACCTCTTGGAAATCGATCTCACTGTGTTATCCCACGATTAAGTAATGCACGCGCTCCCACGAACAAATCTCAATGTCGCCTCACGGCTACACGAAGCACAGGTGTTAGCCTTTGCGAGTTGTTTTAAGTTGCAGGAGCGACAGAGGTAGCGTAGAGGCCTCCATCCAGCAGTGGATTGACCCTGGATGGATGCTGCTGCTGATGATGATGACAGCATGACTTCACATTTATCTCCCCCACGCCCCCGCCCCGCCCCCCCACCCCGCCCCCACCGCCCCACCCCCCATGACGTCACGCGTGTGTGTGTGTGTGTGCCCGCCTGTGCGCGCCCCTTAAAGGCACCGCTCCGTACCGTGGACGCTGCTTCCCGCTCACGGATGCCAACCGGGAACGTCGGGCAACAGGTACGCGGCCCGAGAGGATCCCCTCGGGCCAGGGAAAGTCCGGGCGGCGCGTCGAGGCGGAATCACCGAAGCGAGGCCTAGTCGGGCGAGCCAGACACCGGTGCTCGGATAGCGGCTTACCCGGGCGCGCTCGGCCTGGGGCCCCCTGCCCGGGCGTGTCCGGGGGCCGGTGCGCGGGGTGACCCCTGCGGAGTAACGGGGTGTGGGTTCTATGAATGGTCGCTCGTTATTGTGGTCACCGTTCGATTCGGCGGTCGTTGATTTTTTTTCTGCCACGTTCGTACAACGTTAGCCTAGACGCGTCAGCGTCAGCAGCAGCTGTGATGTATCCACTGCTGGATGAAAGCTTTCCCACAAACTGTCGCCAACCGCTCAGGGTTTCGCGTTGCGCGTCTGGCACGCGCGGTTTCATCGCTCCGCGTTTTCCCTCCTTTGGCTGCCACTCCGTTGTTAGTCTCGACCACCATCCTAGCGATCACGATGTCCGTGTCGCTGCCCACTCGCCGCCACCAATCAACAAGGGGGGGTGGGGGGCGCGAGCCGGTGGGTTCATGTTCACGGATCCACGTGCTCCTTCGTCACCCCGTCTCGCTGTTATTCCAAACTAACCCTCCGTGACCCTTTCGGCTGTTTTCGGCTGTATTCTCATCCACGTGTGATCGCTGTTGCTCTTGGCTCCCCGGTTCAGTTGTCCGTGTTCGCCCGTGAAGCCTCGATTCGGCGGCCCCGATGAGCGGTAGCGCTCTGGTAAGGGCACTGTGATGCGAACTCGGCGATTCTCAGCCACGACTTTACACCAGCGGTGGTTATGTGACCGGGTGTTGTGCGGCGTGTAAACGTTAGCACTGTGGGAGAGACCGAGGCGGCCTGCCGTGGTTGTTGGCCATACCACGCATACCGTACGCTGTGCAAGGCTTCGTAGGTGCTTGCTGAATAAACACTTGCGCAAATATTGTTGTGTGGAGTGCAGCGGGGGTATCTGGCTCTCAAGACAATGCACAGTTAGTGGACCTGTTTTTGCGCGTAGTCACTTTTAAAGATGTTTTCTTGTCAATGTTTTTTTGTTTGTTGCGGTTGCACCCGATTCAAGAGCCGAATGGCTCACAGGGCTATAATAAATAAATGAAACTGAAATAACAGGGCAGGTAGGGGACATGAAGGGATACACGGTGATGTTGGCACGCCATATACGAAGAGGCGGCGGAGTAGACACATTGAGCCTGGACTTGAACAGGATAAGTAAGGCAGTGTTGCCGCACAGATGGCCAGGGGTGGACATGCACATAGCCGCAATGTAAATCTGAGACGGGAGTGACTTCCCATCGAGTGGAAAGACGACTGCAGGTTTGGATATTAAAGGCCTTTGTTGCTGGAGTTTGAGGACACGGAATGGGGTGTACGGCGAGATGAGAGAGGTTGGGCAGAGTCCATGAAAGAATGAACTTGTGTAATAACAGTTATGTAACCCGTTTAGTCATGGGAGCTCGTCTGAGTCACCGCACTCTTTTTTACACTGCATTTGGAAAGTTCACAAATGTCTTCTTCAAAGGATTTGTTTTTTTTTATACTCATTGGTTTTATTCGGTAAAGTCACGTAGGTAAAAAAATACAATAAAAATTAAAACAACTTAATTAAATCACGACGTTTCGGGCGCAACACCAGCAGTCCGTCATCAGGTGGGGACACGGTCAGAGACATGACGTTTCGTTTCGCCAATGTAACAATCAGCACAGATGCAACTTAGTTTGTAAACACCAGGGTATTGCAAGTCAGGAATGACATCTTTCACAGATGGCATTAGATCACGGATTTTGTGTACTGTACTGAATCGGACCTGGATCTTGTGTTTGTTTAAGATTTTGGAAATCTTTTTGGTAACGCCTGCTGTGTATGGCAACGTGATGGTTTTGATCGGAGTCTCAGGGGGCTGTTTCTCCATGGTTGGAGAAACAGCTTTGCGGATAGTACGGAGCTGGAGCACGACACCCAAAACGCGTCCAAGGGGGTCGCAGTGTTGCACGGACAGATTCATCAACCAACCCCCTTGTCGCTCTACTACTGCCCACTCCGCAGCCTTGTGCGGTCGAGAGGTGGACCGGTCTCTTGCGTGACCCATCAACTTGTTCGCCGTCACAGAGCCGTGTCGCTGCGTTGTTCCACGCCAAGCTGCTGTCGTTTCCAACGCGTTCTGCTGTTTTTGCTGAGCGAAAAACTGTGCATCGCACTCGCTGGCGGGAGTTGGGTATGGGCAGGTGTTGACCTTAAGAGTCGTGTTACATGGATACAAGGAGCGGAGCGCCGTGCTAAATGCGGAACAGGATCTGAGCGGCTTGTATTTTTCATAAGCCACTGTCTCAACACGGCCAGCAGGTAACGATTAGAGACCACAAAGCGATTCATTTATCATTCCGTACGGCGGCCAATTTTGACACTTTGGAATTTCCTGACTTTGCTGTGCATGTTGGGAATCGGTTCTCCATTGAAAAATAGACTTGGTGTTCATGGGCTTCTTACCTGTTCACAGATGAAGGTCCAGCACGGCTGTGTGACGAAGGTCATTACACTGTCTGGAGTGGTACGAGTTATTTAAAGCAGTAAAATGTGTGAGGGAGTGGGGAGCAGTGGTTGGTGGACCTGAGTTTGGTTCACGGTCACGGTGGACGTCGGTGACGAGCGATACATGAAAAGGTCCTGGACCTCTTTCCCCCCCCCCCCCCACTTGCCTCTGACCTCGATCAGTTTGGTGAAGTATGGTCAAAACCCTAACACTATGAGTGACATGGCAGAAGGCTTTTAGCGCTGAATTTTACAAAGGGCCGTGAATTCACGCAGCCATTTTTAAAGCGGCAAAGCTGTTTCATTCACTAAGTGTTGCGTACGTGCGTGTGGGCGACAGGTGCGCCTCAACAGATTCTGGTTCTACGTTGAATGCAGGGAGGCTCTCTCTGCAGCGTTCGGTTCTAAACGTAGGTTCACCACGTGTCCCAGACTCGCAGGATCTCTTATTATCCCACTATACTTAGCACCTGTAGGGAGTGGTGGCGCAGTGGTTTGGGTTGGGCTTCAATGAGATGGGAAAGTAGGGGATGAGATGGGATGGCAGGCTATACATGGTGTCACAGCCTAGCCCGTGTTTTGGTTTTGATTATGTTATTTAGTTTTGTCTTGTTGGACTGTTTATGTGCATAGTTAACTAGTATATACATTAAAATTGGCCTTTTTACATGCAGATGTTTATTTATTGCCGTAAGTTGTTTATTTATGATCGGGCAAAACCCATTAACGTGTAAACTCTCTATTGTAAGGCAGATTTGGGTTAAAAATACAAACATGTTATACAGGGTGTACAATTACTGCTCTGTTTTGAACTTGATAATTTAGACAAATGTCTCTTACAATAACACTTAGCATTAACAGATAAAATGTCCACATCTGATTGGGACATTGTAGATAACATGACTGTTTCTTCTGCCGCAGCAATGTCAACCAAATGTAAAGTTAACCTGATTGCTAAATTCAACATCCTGTCAAAAAAGAAGCCAGATCCACATTCAAAAGTTAAATGTTGACAAGATTGTCATCAATCAGAGTAACAGCCCAATTTCCGATAGCTTAAAATCGGTACTAGCTAGAGGGCTTAATTTTGAAGTCACCCAAACACATCCCAGTGGATGATATCATTGCCCAGGTTGACGTAGCCCTCAAAGGTTTGGGTCACATCCCAGCAGACGTGGCAAGATCTGAAATCGCCGCCATCCTCAAACGCTAAGAAACCCATTAGTAACATCAGCAGAGACGAGCGCTCTGAACTCGCTCAAATTAAAAAGAGAGATGACATTGTCATCCTTTCAGCCAATAAGGGCAATGCCACGGTCATCATGGATAAAACCACATACAACTAAATCCAGGACCTTCTTAATGAAGGCAGTTATACCAAAATCAACAAAGATCCTACCAACCGCCTGGCTACAAACACCAACAATATAATCACTAATTCGACTTCTCTAATCGAACCGACCAAGCAGCTCTCTAAAACCTTCGGCTGCTAGACCACCCAGATTTTACGGCCTTCCAAAAATCCATAAAGAAAGTACTCCACTCCATCCTATCGTTTCCATCAACAACTCGCCTACCTACGAACTGGTCCGATTTCTGTCTTGAGACCCTGCTTCCATTCACGGGCAAAACCACCTCAGCAGTACTTAGCTCAGCTCACTTGGTTTCTCGAAGCAAGGACATTTCACTGTCTCCAGATGATTTGCTTTGCTTGTCAACTTCGATGTAGTCTCTCTGTTCACCAAGGTACCTGTGCCTGACACCATAGATTTTTTAAAAATCTTTCTACCTACGTGAATTTACCGAAAAAAACAAAGAGTATGGATTCCTGCAGTCACGAAAGCTTCAAATCAAGTTTAGTTTAGGGTGTACAATTCTTGCATATCAGAACATTGTGACCAAGATTGCAAACTTAAATTACGCAAAGATTTGTGCAAATTCTAACTATACATTGACACCGCTTATTGCAGAGGCTAACGAGTTTGAATCTAGTGGCCGCCCTGGTTATTGCTACAGGGGCAATATAATCGTAAAACACGACGTTTCCGTCTCCTTTGTCAGTGGACTTTAAAGACCCCGTGACGTCATTTGCAAGAGTCAGCTGTCGTGTGCCGCCGTCGGGGTCCAACATTTTCAAATGAAAAAAAATCCCCCAACATACTCGGTTGGGATCACACGCAGCCATCACCCCCCCCCTCTGCCTGCTCCCCTACTGGCAGGGCGATGCACCTCAGGTCGTTCTGTAAATGTGACCCTATCCTGGCCTCGTGAGTTCTCACCTCGTTCGGCAAAAGCAACTCGAAACTTTTATTATCCCGCGCTGCGGGATATTGTACAACACCGACATAATTACCTTAACAACGCAAAGCAAATACACAGCGTACTTTATGAGAAGGTACGAGACGGTGCCTGGCAATATTATGAACTCTGGTTACTTTACACA